CACCCCCATCCATAGCCTGGCCCCACCCCTGGCCACACCCTTGTCCTTGGCCCCGCCCTGCTGAGGTGTCGCCCCGCAGGTGGTGTACTTCACAGCCACCTTCCCCTACGTGGTGCTCACCATCCTCTTCGTGCGCGGCATCACGCTGGAGGGGGCCCTCACCGGCATCATGTACTACCTGACACCCCAGTGGGACAGGATTCTCGACGCCAAGGTGAGTGGGGACAAGGGCTGGCCGGGGGGGGAGCAGTGCTGGGGGACAGAGCACTGACCACCCCACTGCCACAGGTGTGGGGAGACGCGGCCTCGCAGATCTTCTACTCACTGGGCTGTGCCTGGGGTGGGCTCATTACCATGGCCTCCTACAACAAATTCCACAACAACTGCTACCGGTGAGTGCCTGGCTCCCCAGTCCCCCCAGCTGTTCCCCAGCGCCACCACCAACCCTGACCACTCTCTCCACAGGGACAGCATCATCATCAGCATCACCAACTGCGCCACCAGCGTCTATGCCGGCTTTGTCATCTTCTCCATCCTGGGCTTCATGGCCAACCACTTGGGTGTGGATGTCTCCAAGGTGGCCGACCACGGCCCTGGCCTGGCCTTTGTTGCCTACCCTGAGGCCCTCACTCTGCTCCCCATCTCGCCCCTCTGGTCCATCCTCTTCTTCTTCATGCTCATCCTCCTGGGGCTGGGCACACAGGTAGGAGGACATGGTGGGGTCACCGTGTTGGGGTGGGGTGGCATGGTGGGGCCAAGGTGGTGACATGCTTCCCTCTCCACCCCACGCACAGTTCTGCCTGCTGGAGACACTGGTCACAGCCATTGTGGACGAAGTGGGCAACGAGTGGATCATCCGCAGGAAGCCCTTTGTGACACTGGGAGTGGCCGTGGCGGGCTTCCTGCTGGGCATCCCGCTGACCACGCAGGTAGGTGACCATGGGACCCTGGTGACAGGGTGCTTGTGCTGTTACCATGGTGAACTTGCTGCACTGACACCATCAGCCACGTCCACATTGTTGCTGTGACCACCCCGGTGGTGGTAGTGGTGGTGACATCCAGGGCCTGGTGTTGCCATGCCAACACAAGTGATGGTATCCAGACTAAGCGTCACCATGCTGACCCCAGCACTGGGTGTTGCCATGCCGACCATGGTGGTGGTATCCAGGCTGCTTGTTGCCATGCCAGCCCTGGCAGCACGTCTGTGCCATTGTGTTGCCCTACCAGTGGTGGTACTGCCGGGGCAGCCGCGCCAATGGGTCTGTCTTGCAGGCGGGCATCTACTGGCTCCTGCTGATGGACAACTACGCTGCTAGCTTCTCCCTGGTTGTCATCTCCTGCATCATGTGTGTGGCCATCATGTACATCTACGGTAGGTGCAACTGCCTGTGGCCAATGAGCTGGTGGGGCTGGAGCTGGTGCTGGGCAGGGGTGGGAGTGGGCTTGGGGTCCCACCAGCACCCCAGCCCAGCCAGCAGGGGCTGATGGTCACTTATTTCCCCAGGGCACCGCAACTACTTCAAGGACATTGAGATGATGCTGGGTTTCCCACCACCACTTTTCTTCCAGATCTGCTGGCGCTTCATCTCACCTGCCATCATCTTTGTGAGCATCATGACCATGGGGCACGGGGCCAAGGGATGAGGGGGCAAGGAGCCCACCTGGCCACCCTGTTCACCCA